TACTTGAGTAAAAATGTACTGTGGAATGGCAGTGGAATGGGAGCCCCATGACCGAAACTATTCAAAGTCAGCTGGGTACTGTTTACAGCCAAAAGTTGGCAGCAACAGGAAGGATGTGTCTTCTCCGATGGAGAAAGCTGGCAGGACACGGCAGAATGTCAAGGCCCAAGCCACGCTGGGAATTCAAATTCCATGAAGGAAGAAGGAGGAGGAGCTAATTCATGCATCCTGGACCAAAACTGCTGAGGGCTGGGAAGGTGTGGCTTGGTCCATCCCAGACACACTGGATGTGAAGGTCCAGGTCAACAAGACTGATCTCAGAGACCATCTGCTGATGGGGCTGAGGCTTTGCTTGTATCTCCATCCAAGTTTGGGAAGAGCTGATAGGCTGAAATGAACATGGGGTCCCGGGGTAGACAGACTGGGTCCAAATCTCAGCTCTGTCACAAGCTAACTATACGACCCTGGGCATGGGTGTGTGTGTGTATGTGTGTGTGTGCGAGTGTTTTAACTATCTAGACACTTGTTCATGCCATATCTGCCTTGAAGTAGGCTATGTGACCTTGAGTAACTCATGTTACCTCTTTACTGTCGATTTTCTTATTTGAAGGACTGGGACTAAATAATACACAAGAACCCTCCCAGCTAGAATATTTTAAGGTTCTTTTATTCTAATGTCCTTAAATCTCCATAGGCAAGTAATGTAGGATGGACAGAAGTTCTAGTCCTGGCTCTGTAACACCAGCTGTTTAAATTTCACCCAAGAGTTCCTCTCCGTACAGATACTCATGCTTTTGTATCTAGAAATTACGCAGAAGATATACTTTGGTTGGGCCATAGTTACTAGATAAGAAAATACATGTAAAAAGCCAAGGTTCTTTCCTGGCCCATAAAAGGTACTAAATATTTTTTAGATAAAGTCTGTGAGTGTTCCTATGGTAGTAAAATAAAGCCTTCACAACACACTGAGTAAAAGACTATCGATACTAAATTTAAAGGGTCCCGGGTAGTTAAAACTGTCAAGATTTTTATCTGAGTTTTACAGTTTCATTTGTTTCCCCCAGAGCATTCAGCTATTACTTCTTAATACTTTGGCGTGTTTACTCATAGTATGCCCTTTGATCTTTATTGTTGTTTACTTCTGTTCCGCAATGGCCTTGGAAGACAGCAGTCAAGTTTATAGAGTTGTATATCTACTAAGAATAAATATACTCTGATTCTGCTGGGAATAAAATGTTGGCCTCTGCATTGCTTTTGTAAAAATTATTTTGTCACTGCCATCCTCCCGACAACCAAAGCCCCAAAACTGGGAAACGTGCTCCATTTTCTCTCTCTCTCACTTACACGTCATATAGAGCTTTTAAGCAGTTCTGGAATTGCCTGTCTTCTCCCCACTCCACACTCTAATCAAGCCACCATTGTCATTTCCGCTCTCACCCAGTTGGTTGTCTCCTTGTCTTGTATCCCATGTTGGAAAGAATTATGAGTCAAGGGAACACTGCATCAGTCCTCCTGGATTACTTACAAATCAGCCCAGTTCCATACAACCTACCAAGCCAACAAGATGGTAGATTATTTCTTTTGGAAACCATCTTTGTATTTTGTTTTCCTGTTACAGACATTTGTTGCTAAGAGATCTTTGGCTTGGCAAGACCCAGTATATTTTTACTGAAAATCGTGGCTTTGTCTCCCTGACCACTGCTATCAAAACTTCCCAGCCAACCTGAGAGGCTCCATTACCATCACCACGCAAAGAAGCTACCCCGCCTTTACACAGTTTTGCAAACTCCATGGGGGGCCCATGATTTTTTATGAAGGAAAAGCACAGTGTAGTAGGTTAAGTGCCAAGTTAAGGTTTCAGCTCTCTAATCTTTAGGCAAAGCTTGCCTCTTTGCTGGTCAGACCACACACAGGGCAGTCCTGTTGACTTGAAGAAGCCTATTAACAGGAATGTGTCTAAAGAAAATCAATGAGCATCAAGAACAGTACCACATAAGCAATGTTTAGGTGAACTGCATCAGACTCGGAGAGGGCTTCACATGGGGAAGTTAAGGCAAGTAAAATGGGGATTGGATCTTATCCTCACTGTTACACATTTTAGGCAAAATGTGTAAAATTCACAAGGCAAGGATCAAAACACAGAAAAACACATCCATTTAATTATACACTACAGAATGGGGCTGGCCTGAGGTGGAAGGTCAAGGGAGAGTTCAAGTGCAAGTTAGATAAGCCATATG